TTTAATTATTTAAATGTAACGGCATAAATACAATGCAATTATTATAATTAATTAGTAATTAATTAATATATATAAATATATCACGTAATCATTTCTGTCCCATTAGATGTCAATCAAAGTTACCATTAAAATAAAAATAATTTGTGGGCCAAAAAGCATGCTTTTAGATGCTTGTTTACGCCTTAAACAGATCAGATTCTAAAGCCTAGGAAGTGACACAAAAATACCTAAACACAATGCTTTTAATTAATTCATATAATCTTAATATATCGTTTATAAAAGATTAGGATAAACCCAAATTCATCCATCTCTCTCATTTCTACTAACTTCTGAAGAATTTTATAATAATAATAAGAGTAATGCTAGCTTACTCACGAACTTACTAACCATCTTATCACCTTTATTAAAATTATATATAGTACCCATACTATGTTTATGGTACCTGTACTATGTGTTATATTTACACAGTTAGTAAGATGGTTAGTAAGATCGTGAGAAAGCATATAATACTTGTTATACCTGAAAAAGTAAGATTGACGCCAAGCTTGCAGCGTGGACGATCAGAGCTTAGGTAGGTTCTGTAGCCGTTCGACACATCATGTCGCATGATGACGTGAGGGCATGCTCCGCCGAGTGCAGTGGGTATGTGCCAGAATGACGAAAGGCTGAAATTGTTCCACGTGTCCAATCCCTGCACAAGTCGAGGAAATCACCGAGCAGGTGAGCAACGGGACACAAATAAAGATTTGCACGCAATCTGACTCACTCACAAATCAGTAATCATTACCTCAATCAATCCCACTATAAATAGGGGGTCCTCTCCTGTTTGTGGGATAGCTAATTTTTCTCTAAAATACACATATCTCTCTCTCTCTCCTCTCTCTCTCTCTCTCTCTCTCTCTCTCTCTCTCTCTCGTGTATTCACTTGTATTCACTAAGATAAATCGGCTCGCTGAACGCGACCTGATTTTATATATAATACAATACTAGTGGACGTAGGATTGCTTATTTAAGCATCCGAACTACTTTAACATTTTTCTTCACTCTTTAATCAAATACCCCCCTATATACACGTGTATCTTTTGAGTCAGCTCAGCATTTTTCACGTGCAATTAGTTGGTGTCAAAGTCAAGCATCAATAATAATAATAATCATGATGTCAAAGTACATCGATTAGAGACGAGGGACTTTATATTTATATAGTCTAAGGACTCCTCACCTCCCAAAGGGACAAAACTGTACTAATTCTACGGCCTAAAGCGGATAATATCTTTGCAAACACACTTACTATATGTTGGGGTATTTAATAAACTTTGGAAATTTTCTTTAAGAAATTGTTTTTTTTTTTCATTTTTATTTTTTTTATTTTTTTGTAAATTATTGAATGGACAAAGTGAAGAGACATGATTAAGTAACAGTAAAAGGTTAAACTAAAGATAATTAAAGCATTATTAGGAACTTTCTACGGTAAAGGGTTCAAGTTAACTCTGCCAACTTATTCCTTTAATCATTAGGTTCCCCACTAATCACTCCTTCATCTCTACCTTAATTTAATCTTCTTTATTAACGTAGAATTTTAGAACACTGTCATATATAACCTTTACAAAAAGGAATTTTTATTAGTTATATAAACCCATAGCTTATCCTAACCTCCTGACTCCACTAGATTTATTCACACAATGTACTCCATTTTTCACATTAAATTTAATTTATAATTCAATGTGCTTAAGATTTGCATACATTTTGAGTTTATTATAATGAATGTAATAAAGAAAATGAAAAAAAAAAAAATCAATTAAAGTTTAGAAACTTCTAAATTAGTGCTATCAAAAAGAAATTATATTATAGAGGTGTCTGGCAACTTAAATATATCTCGACTAATCTTTAAGGGGAAACTATTTTACAGCAACCCACTATTATAGCCTCCTGATACATCATGGGTAAAAGTATTACCTTTACGCTCAACGGGAATGAACCAAATTGTGGATTAGAATGTATAATCCCTGTGAGTCTTCATTCATAATAAAAAATCTTATTTATTTGAGAAAAGTTAGAATTAAAAGATAATTTCGGAAATTAAAGGTGGAATAAACCAAAGTCTATACGTAACTAATCCCATAGAATAATGGAACTATAAAGTATGAAAATGATATTGTAAATGGGTGAAATATAATTGGAGCCACATAAAAATTAAATTAAATTTAAGAAGGAATATGAGTCAAAAGTATAAAAAAAAAAAAAAAAAAAAAGAAAAGAAAAAAAAGAAAGAGGTATGGAGCATATTATGAAATAAAGTTAAGTGAAGAGAAGGCCCCTCCACCCACTATCTAAACAGTTTATTAGCTCATCATATAAGAATTGACATAATACGCTCGAATAATTCCATTACAATCTCTAATTAATTTAATAAAATATCATAAGTTTATATCAATTTCTTAGCCACTTTGACCACTCAAGATGAGTAGTTCACCAAATTCTGGTTGATTGGTCCTCTCATTCAAGATTGTACCTCTTCTCACTTTTTCCTCCCAATTTTTTTTCAAAATTTTTAATTTTGTTTTCACATTTTTTTTTTGTTAAAGGGTGTTCGGTTTAGTTTATATGCACCTCTAATATTTCTTAAAAGAGTTATTCCATAATAACCTACGTGTGACCCCCGAGTAAATTAGGGTAAATATACTACTTTTGCGCCAACAAAAATTGAACTTAGGACTGTGGGTTGAAGCCTTGTACAACCCCTTTGGTTCACATTTCTTACCCTTCAAAGTTAAAATTTAGAAAAAAAAAAAATGTTAACGAGAAAGTTTTAAAGTGTTGTTAGGCTTCTTCGAGCAGAAGTTATAAGAGAAATTATGAAATAACTTCATGAAAATGTTGTTAGTTGTTTAGTTAGGAAAATGTAAAAGAGTATTAATCTACCAAAAAGAGCTTTAATATAAGAATACGTTAAGTCAAATATATAAATAGTAAACATATATTTTTACATTTAACACTTTGATCAAAGAGCTTAGAAAAAAAACTCAAATTTTGAGCTTTTTAAGCGTAAACAATTATTTAAAACTTGTAAGGGTTTCTAATACATTACCAAAAAAAGTATAAAAAAAAAAAAAAAAAAAAAATCATAAGTGCTTATGGTTTTAAAAACCATTTTAATCCGTAAATAAACCCAACCAACAGGCTTTACTAAGAAATAAACCATTCCAATAATAATAAAAAACAAAGAGAATAAATAACAATTATAGAGTAATCTTTCCAAATATTACACCATATCTTTATCTATATCTTTTAAGTATAAAATGAATAAATTATTTAAGCAATAAGAAATTTCCATTATACCCAAAATTAAACTAACAAACCGGGAATTAATTAAATCTTAATATAGTTGACTTTTATATTCATAAAAAAATAGAAGCTGGTTCTCAATTAATTTTGGTTTAAAACTTTAGTGATAAATAAAATGTTCATAGATTTTAATTTCTATAAATTATAATCTACGGTATCATGATTAATTATCTTTAACTGACAGCTAACTTGCGTATTTAAAAAAAAAAAATTGTAATTCATAATTGCTTATAAAATAAATGTTCATTATTAAGTTATAATTATAATGTTTTTTTTCAATAATACCCAATTATGAATTACATTATGCTTATAAAATTATGAACTTCTGATAATATCAATATAAAAAAATATAATTATAAATAAGATGTATTTATACACTCAACGTTGTCGTATTATAAGAATAAATTGACATGACTTTGCTTGTGAGATTTTGGGTTGGACCATACACAAAATCATAATTAAAACATCAAAATTGATTAATTTTTTTTGGGATTAAATTAGATTATATCAAAATTAAATACGATTGCGTTATAATGCATAACATTATAAAGATTAAATCGAATCATTAATTTCATTAAAAAAATAATTAAGTTGACTTATTTTTAATGATATTGTAGGGGGACTGCATTAATAAAAATTTAATGCAGATAGTTAAAAAAGGATTGGGATCTTCAAAATTAGTTACAAATATTTTGTTTTGTTATTTTGAGAAGTATTTTTGAATCATTATTGTTAAGTTGAATTGGGTTATTATTACGAGGTAGATTTAAAAATTAACAAAAAAAAAAAAAAAAACCCTATGTTTGTTAATTTAGTTAAACATCCTCAAATCTCAATAATGAAAAGTTTATAAATTGATACAAACACCCCTATCCACCCATAGTTGCTAGATTTCGTCCACCATTGCCATAATCTGGTTTCATTACCCACGACCGACCAGATCTAGCCAGTCATGAGCCGCTATGGCTTTTTTCGGCTAGATCCACCACGGATTTGGCCAAAAAAATGTCAGATTTATGACTGAATCTAGCTGTTGACGACCAAAGATATAGTCTTCGTTGACGGACAACGATGGCCATATATTAGTCATCATTGATAGCTAGATGTGGCCGATCTGACTTTTTTGGTCAGATTAGTGCATTAACAGTCATATCTAGTCGGTAGTACGTTAGATTTCGGCCACCTTCTGATGGTGGTTGTCGGAATCTGACAAATATGAATAGATAAGAGTGTTTTTATCAATTTATAAAAAAAAAATTTGTTAGAGGTGCTTAGTTAAATTAACAAACCTATAAGGTTTAAAATGGTTTGAATATTATATTATATGATTCTTAGAATAGGAAAAGAAACTTGCAATTTCTTTCATGATAGGAATATAGTATTTTTAGAAAAAAGGAAACAAACGCAGACCCCGGTCTTTTTATACAGTCCAGTACAGTAAAACAAACAGAACAGAAAAATATAAAGAAAAAGAAAGAAAGAAAAAGAAAATAGAGTATTTAAACAAAGCAAGTACAGTGATAGATCATAGAGGCTCAAGGATCTCTATAGCTGTTAACAGAAACAGAGTCTCAGTGTAAGTATAATAACCAAGTTAAATAAAGCATGCAGGCAAAAACCAAAAACCAAAAATATAACATTGTTTTGTTTAATTGTTTTCTTTGTTTCTGAAAACACTTCTTCTGTTTTCCCCCTCAGGTGCTTTTTAATTTTTTGGCCTGTTGTCAGATCTTGTTGTTGTGTTTAATCTTGTTGTTAAAGAGGAGAATTTAAGAGGGGGGAGTCATTTAAGATTGCGAGGAGTACTTTTTCTTGTAAGCTTTTAATGGTTTTCTGAAACTCTTTTTGAGTCTCAAATAAAACCGAAAGAGCTGAGCTAAACGGGTGGCAATATTTTCTGGATTGTTGCTTTAAAAGGTAAAGCTAGATAATCCCTTCTGTGTCTCTTTCCTTAGAAGGAGAGTTAGAGAAGCAAAGTGGTCACACATTTGTCGTGAAAAGAGTATATTTTAACCTTCACTTTCTTTTATACATCACAAGCAACACACAAGCCTAATTCATAATATACACTGTTGAGAGGATAAGTTTCTAAGGTTTGAGTTTTGATTGATTTTGATTTCTGGGTTTGTTTTAAGTGTCTGTTTTTTTAATAAGTTTTGCCATGTGTTGCAGATCTATATATTCAAGCAAATGTTATCACTGAAACAAGCAGAGGAAGACATGGTCACCAGCTTTAACGAGAATGATCAACATGAAGAGAAAGATGAAGAAATTATGGAAGATCACTCAAAGTTTGGCCTCAAAAGTTTTCTTTGGCATGGCGGTTCTGTATATGATGCCTGGTTTAGCTGTGCCTCAAACCAGGTACTTAACACTTCTTTATCATTTCAACTAGTTTTAGCTTTAAAAATATTGTTGTTTATTATTTTTTTTTTGGGTGGTTGCAGGTTGCTCAGGTTTTGTTGACTCTTCCCTACTCTTTCTCTCAACTGGGAATGCTATCAGGCATTATATTGCAGATATTTTACGGTATTCTAGGAAGCTGGACGGCTTATCTTATCAGTGTTCTTTATGTCGAGTACCGAAGCCGAAAGGAGAAAGAGAATGTCAGCTTCAAGAACCACGTCATACAGGTTAGTTTTTCAAGAACAATCACCACAACATTTTCATAAAATAAAAACACTGTTTTCTAAATTCAATTTCCTATCACTTGTTTTGTCAAAACCTGCAGTGGTTTGAAGTGCTGGATGGTCTTCTGGGTCCGTACTGGAAAGCTGCTGGATTAGCCTTCAATTGTACTTTTCTCCTCTTTGGATCTGTCATCCAGCTTATAGCTTGTGCAAGGTAAAATTTTTATTAACATTTTTAATTTATGCCATTATGTGTTCTTTACTTCAACTTCATCTATTGAATTGTGGTAAATTTCTTGATGTGATTCCAGTAATATATACTACATAAATGACAACTTAGATAAGAGGACATGGACTTATATCTTTGGAGCTTGTTGTGCCACCACTGTGTTCATCCCCTCATTTCACAACTACAGAATTTGGTCTTTTCTTGGCCTTGGTATGACCACCTACACAGCCTGGTATTTGACCATTGCAGCCCTTGTTCATGGCCAGGTAAATTGATTCAACTGCCCTGATGCTTTCTTGGTGTCTTCTTTGCTTCTCGGCCGTCGGATTTGACCCCTTTTTCTTTTACTTTTTTGCAGACTGATGGTGTAACTCACTCAGGCCCATCTAAATTGGTTTTGTATTTCACAGGCGCCACCAATATACTTTACACTTTTGGTGGACATGCCGTCACCGTGTAAGTAAACAATAATATTTTTTATTGTTGAAATTTGAACAAAACTTTTTGGATAGACTCATTAGTATCAGAAAATGGTTTCCATCTGTATAGCAAATGCCAAAGAGTCGATTTCTCGTTTGACATATTTTGGTGCCTCAGATTAGTCAGTCATATGCTTTATTTTGTGTGTGTGTGGTGCTGTATACAAAAAGTCCTGCTGTTACGTGGATTTTAAAATTTTAGTCAATTGACTTCCGGCGAGTCATATACAAAAAATTACCACTTATCTTCATGATTTTAGATGGTTTTTATCCTTGTTACTCCAGAGGGTGGTCCTCATTTCCTCTGCTACTTTACTTGAAGATTTTCCTCTTTTTTCAGAGGATCTTGATTGTGTTCCCTTACTAAAAAGTGGTCTCCATATGGATGCCCCACAATATTCATTTTGGTCCCAGATTTTCGAAAGTAAATAAATGGCTGTGAGTGAATGTTGACTAGTAATTATTATGTGTAGAAATAAGTAATTTATGATCTTAATGTTACAGAGAAATTATGCACGCTATGTGGAAGCCTCAGAAATTCAAGTACATATATCTCCTTGCCACCCTTTATGTGTTTACCCTAACCATTCCATCAGCTGCTGCTGTTTACTGGGCATTTGGTGACCAGCTCCTCACCCATTCCAATGCATTCTCACTGCTTCCACGCAGTGGATGGCGTGATGCTGCAGTTATCCTGATGCTAATTCACCAGGTTTGCTCATAATGTCAAAAGTCACCGACATTCATATTTATATGTAGCCTACACGGAAATATAATCTTGGCTTATGTATTTTGCAGTTTATAACATTTGGGTTTGCGTGTACTCCATTATATTTTGTGTGGGAGAAAGTGCTGGGAATGCATGACACAAAGAGCATATTTTTGAGGGCACTTGCCCGGTTACCTGTGGTGATACCTATATGGTTCTTGGCCATTATATTTCCTTTCTTTGGTCCTATTAACTCTGCTGTGGGGGCTCTTTTGGTCAGCTTCACCGTCTACATCATTCCTGCTTTAGCCCATATGCTCACTTACAGATCAGCCTCTGCTCGAAAGGTATATAACTGGTCCCATATTTCTACCCAATATACATACCATACTGCCCTTTGTCTAATGCGTTCTGGTCTTTGATATACTTAATCACTGCATTATCGGTCACATTGCTTTACAGTTAGGGCATCTTCTGTTCCATGTTTTACAGGATTGTACAAATCAAGTTGTTTTACGGATATGATTCTAGCTAGTTTCATATTGTAGGACTTGTACTCTCAATATCACTCAGTTCTAGGCCCACTAGTGAGTTTAATGCTTGAAAATACAAATTTATGAACCAAAGATAAGGTTGGTGGCATCTCCTTGTCAGTTTTCTGCTATTTTCATAAATTATACTCCTTTACTAACCACATCCCAGAAGTAGCTGGCAGCCCAACCTACTTATCTTAATTCTTTATATCAACTAGATGTAAACCCTTTTTCACCCATCACCATGATTGCCATTAAAGGCATAAATATAAGTACCTTAAATTCTGTTATATCAGTGAAACAAGTTGACACATTTTGGTCTTGTCTAAGCAGAATGCAGAAGAGAAGCTTCCCTTCTTCCTCCCAAGTTGGACAGCCGTGTATGTGGTGAACGCATTTGTGGTCGTATGGGTATTTGTCGTTGGCTTCGGATTAGGCGGGTGGGCTAGCATGACCAATTTCATCAAACAAGTCGACACATTTGGACTTTTTGCCAAGTGCTATCAGTGCCCGCCCCCAACGCCTGCAACAACACATCACTGAGTATGGTTCTAAACTTTGTTGAACCTGAAATCTTCCCAAATTTCCACCACAGCATTCTTACATTCTCTCTTGTATATAAACAGGGAAGCTTCACCATCTCCCCGTATATGTAGGTTGCTGTATTTTGCCCTCTTTTGTTCTTTGGTTCAACATTTATATAAAAATTACTAGATGATTTTGAATGGTGAATTAGTGATGTTCTTTTTTGTATTCAAGCAAAGTTTATATTTACAAAATCTCCAATTCTAGAACCATTACTTTGTGCTATGATTTTATTAAGTTTTGCCTATAATTTTTCCATCTTGATTATAAGAAAACTCAAATGAGCCAACCTCAAGTAGTTGGGTGGTCAAGGAGGTTTGCTTCCTTCTTAAGTTTTTGGATTCAAACCTTGGGCCGATTTATCATAATAACATATAAGTTGTCCCGACACCCCGGTTATGAAAGAAAAATCTCAAATGGGCAACTGGGCACATGGGTTAAACTTAAAAGATTGGACTGGCTTCTGCTAGGCTCTTTGCATGTGAGCCCACATGAATCCAAAACAGATAATTACACTTAATAATCCAAATTAAACCACGTCCTTTGACTAATAATTGGGATTCTCCCTTCCACATGAATCCATTACTCTTATGCTTGTCTTCTTGCTCAATCATACCCTCTTTTACATCACTTTGACTAGTCAAATTATATTTTAATTAATTTATTTGTTTTTATACTTGGGATGAAGGTAAATTTTTCCAATATGGCATATATGAAGAGTACAAAGTCCTTTTGTCCCCAATAAGATTGTATAAATCTTGTTTGCTTTTGCATAGCTTTTTAAACAAACAACTTTAGAAAAAGTAATTTTAAGGTAAAAGCACTTTGTTAAGATAAAGAGAGTATAAGCATCACATGTTTTCATATAGTCAATGCCTTTTCATTGTAAAGCATGTTGATTCATGTATAAAATAAAAGATGTATACATAAAAGCTTAGAGAAAAGTGACTTTCATTTTAGTTGTAAAGAAGACACTATAGCTCTATCTCCCCGGATAGTTATCATATATCAATTCATTTCACTTTATTCCTTATCGGCTTTATCATAATCAAATTTCAAGCCTTGGTTTGATAAACTATACTACACTTACAATCTAATCTTATAATCCCGACATAACAGCTCGCAATTGATTTCTGATGAATTTTTCCATCTGATCAATTATGAACTACCACGTCGAGATTGTAAGAGAGAGTTTACAAAATTAAATTATGAGTCAATCTTTATTGTGACTTAATTTATAGCACTTGAATGTCTATCACTTCAATTCTCTTATCTTTGATTTCTTTTCGTGCTGTCATATAAGTTTTTCTCTCTTTTTAGGTTGGGCTGTGAACCCACAAATTTCAGTTCATGCTTGGGTTTGGGCTTTTCCACTAACATTTTATTCATAATATTTTCTTGACACACTCTATCAAATTCTGAACACAATCCTTCGCTAAACAAGTAAAATCTGAGTAATGCATGTGATACAATAAATAATATTCTCCATTCCATTCTGGGTTTGGATCATGCTTAGAGAAACCTTTAAAAAAAAAACCGAAGATCCTAGCCTGAAATGTGCTAGTTCTAAGGAGTATTCATCAAAGAGCAGAAACTAGATTCAACATGACTCATAATTTTAACCACGTAGACCTTAAGATCGAGTTTTCATACACTAATATGAGACTCGGTTACAGAGTACTAAAATGGCTCCATGGCAAGCTTAGTGAAGACACTAACAGATTTTGGTAAATCATTCTCCAACTTTGAAGCCTCAATCAGCACACTCTCCATGCAGTCTTCTTCTTTCTTGGCCATTGCTTGCAAGTTCACCATCAAACTCTCAAGCCTACTCTTCTCCATTCTATGATTTTCAGCCTTTATCTTTAGCCCTTTTATTTCAAGTTGTGATAACTTAAGCTCAATCATAACATCAGTTAACTCCACCAACCTTCTCCTCAGTGGTATCACATTGTACCCTACATTTTGCAACTCCTCCATCGTTTGCCAAAGTCTTTTAGCCCTGACCCAAAAATCCACATCTTGTAAAGAATGAATTTCTTTCACGGTTTCTTCAAAAATCTGATCCCATGTAGATATTAACCTCTCTCGTGTTAGTTCAGAGCAGTTTCGAAGCTGATAAAAATGTGGATTTTGAGGTATTCCATTCAAGATTCTAGTAACCGTTGTCAATGGTAAAGGCGAGTTTTTCACTGGTTCTTTATTTGCTTCAACCCTTGTTGCGTTCCTTTGCTTGACCTCAACTGAAGATGAAGAATCAACATAGTCTGATTTTGTCTGAGATGATGACAGTACTGATGAAGAACTAAAGGCCGGTGCTGGTGCAACATTTGTGAGTACACAGCTGGGAGATGCAGTTGTACTGATAGCGGCTGTGCTACTATTATTAAAACTAAAAGGAGACGACTGATTTGCCGGAGCTTGTGTCGACACCGGGGGGGATTCACTTCGAGACAGTTGTTGACGTATACGAGAAAATTTTTTAATTTTTTGTTTGCTACTTTTAGTGCAAAAAACTCTACTGTTATCCCCGGCTGAAACATGGTTGCCATTATTATATTAGAGAACGAGAGAGAAGACTTACAACATAGAATTGAGTAAAGCTCAAAGTGATACATACACAACATATATTTACTTACTAGATGTTGAAGTATTGATACTTAAAACATACTCGTGTGACTGAAGGAGAGTAGAAATTCTTACCAGTAGGTGTTGAACCGAAACACCAAGGGTCGAGGGGTGCTGAAATAGTACTTGTCATGGCTGTTTTTTAAGTGGATGAGTAATTAACAGGTGACGATCCAAAGGGGAAGCAAAAACAGTTAACATATTTGTGAGTGATCGAGATTAGAAATACAGATACTTACCAGGTACTGAAGCAGAACTCCGAATGGTGAAGGGTGATGGTGGAACTGTTGTCGAGGCAGCTAATTAAGAAGAGAATGAAGCTTAATTATGTCTATGTATATATATATATATATAAATTTGTGTGTGAGAGTAAGCAGATATACTTACCAATGCTAGATGATGATACAAAGAAAGAGGATCCTGACTCTGCCGTCATGGGTGGAAAGTGGAAGAGAGCTGAATCAGGGACGCCAAAGGGAAAAGATTGGAAGTAAAGAAGCTAATTTCTGTTTCCTTCTTGCTGAAGTATAATTTGCGTAGTGAATAAGTAGAAGAACCTTTAATTTAAAGTGTGTTTAAATACTTGCAAGGTTTGGAAGCTGAATCAGGGGCGCCAAAGGGGAAAGATGAAGTCTTTTGCCATGGCCAGAAGAAAAGAACCTTTAATTTCTATTTCCTTCTTACTTAAGTATAATTAACATTTAAAATTGATGAAAGACCAAGTTTGACCAGTGTAATTATAAGTTTGCCCATGATTTATTTGCCAAGATAAAAATGGAAGACCAAGTTTGACCAGTGTAATTACAAATTTGCCCATGATTTAATTTTCAAGATCAAAATGTTAATTGCTCAACCAGTTTCCCAAACACATTTGCATAAGTTCATTGCAAGGACATTTCTTTAAAACAGAAACCTAATAAGATACCAAAAATTATTAAAATATATACTATATTTAAAATTTGTGTTATAATGTAGTTAATATTTATGCTAAATTATATTAAACATTTTTTTAAAAAGTTTATTGAACATTTATGTTAAAGTATATTAATTTTTTTGTTAAATTATATTTATAATTTTGTAAAATATATTAAATTTTACCCCGTAGAAGTTATATTTAAAATATATAAATTTTTATAATATTATTAAATTTCAATTTTTTTTTTAATTTTAATACTCTTTTTAATAGGAATATCTTTGTAATTGAATTTTGGTAAAAATATTTAATATTTTCTTTAATAAAATATCTTTGTCAAACCCTAAGAGGTTGGTCTAGTTGTAAAAAATGTTTGTTTTTTTCATTGACTTCCTGATTCAAACCGCCTTAAGACCACCGGCCAGGCGGCCACCTACCATAATTTGTGGTTTACCTTAAAATATTAGGCTTGTAAGGTGTTCAATGGGCCCCGAGAATTAGTTAAGGTGCACGTAAGCTGGCCTGGACACACCGGTCATTAAAAAAAAAAAAATCTTTGTCAAAATTTTAAATATATTAACTTTAATTTTGTTCAATAATTTTCAATACGAAAATTTTAAATATATTAAATTTGATAATTAAACATAAAATATTTTCACAAAAAATTTTGAGAGGTCAAGGGTTTGAGTCTTTTATGTGCCAATTTAACTAATGTCAAGTGTAAGGGGGTGTAAGTGGCTATTTCCGAACTTTCTCGGTGTATTAACCCACTAATTAACTACTGCCATTTGGAAAGACCCTAAATACTAAGGGTGCATTTGGTTGAAGGTAATGTTGGATTACTGAGGTAAGGTCATCTTATATTACTTGATTATCACGATTGGTTGTCAAGTAATATAAAATTTCGATAATCTTCAAAAACCAATAGTAGTTACTGTTGATAATATTGGAAGTAATCTGATTACCTCCATTTTTAAAATCAATTTACATTAATCTACCATTGCAATTTTACTCTTGTTTAATTAAGTTTTTGAACAATAATATTCTTATATTTAAAACAAATTGCAGACTATCACCGCCACCCAACCACCACCATCGGCCACTACCGGGAGATGTCGATATGGTCGCTTCCAGCCATATTGATGGCCGAAAATGGTCAGATGGCTATAGATTTGGCAGGAAATGGCCAGATCTATTGTAGCCATTTCTGGTTAGATCCGTTAATGGCCAAATCTATCAGCAACTCTAGGTGGCGGAAGGCGGTGCCCAGTTGTGGTGGCTGGCGGTCGGCAATGGCTTGGGGTGGGTCGGGGTGATTTTGTTACAAATTAAAGTTTTATATAAGTTGGGGTGTTTTAGCTAAATCTGAAATGTTGGGGGTTAAAAAAATTATTCAAAAATTAATAATAAAAATGATATTATATTAATATTTAAAAATGAGGGCAATTTAGTAATTTAAATAACATACCCACCAATTTATTCCAACTAACCAAACACATTTCCCTAAATATTTCCAATAATCTTCAAGATAATCTAACTTTCCATTTATATAACATTCCTAGTAATCTAACATTCCCTGAACTAAACGCACCTTAAGGGAGAATAA